ACGGCTCGTCAGGTCCCAAATACCATTCGTCTCCATTTACTCCTATCGCACACGCTCACGCACACTTGCTGGAAGTCCAAGCCTCTCACACACAAAACCTCCTTTACCCCTTCCCTCCAACCTTTTCGAGGACGACACCTACCCTGCCTTCCTTCCCCTACAGATTTATATGGTCTCCATGTCATTCTACTTTGATCCATTCTCTCTAAATGACCAAACCACCTCAACAACCCCTCTTCAGTCCTCTGACTAATACTTTTATTAACTCCACACCTTCTCCTAATTTCCACACTCTGAATTTTCTGCATAATATTTACACCACACAATGCCCTTAGACAGGACATCTCCACTGCCTCCAACTGCCTCCTTGCTGCAGCATTTACAACCCAAGCTTCACACCCATATAAGAATGTTGGTACCACTATACTTCCAAACATTCCTTTCTTTGCCTCCATAGATAACATTTTTTGTCTCCACATATACCCCAATGCACAACTCACCTTTTTTCCTTCATCAATTCTATGGTTAACCTCATCTTTCATAAACCCATCTGCTGAAACGTCAACTCACAAATATCTAAAAAATTTACTTCTTCCATACTTCCTCCCTCCAATGTGATATCCAATTTTTCTTTACCTAAATCATTTGATACCCTCATCACCTAACCCTTATCTATGTTCACTTTCAACTTTCTACCTTTACACGCTCTCTAGAACTCGTCCACTAACCTTTGCAACTTGTCTTTAGAAACTCCCATAAACACCGTATCATCAGCAAAAAGTAACTGTGTCAACTCCCATTTTGTAATTGATTCCCCATAATTTAATCCCACCCCTCTCCCCAACACCCTACCATTTACTTCTTTTACAATCCCATCTATAAACAACCATGGTGACATTACACATCCCTGTCTAAGACCTACTTTTACTGGGAAGTAATCTCCCTCTCTTCTACACACCCTAACCTGAGCCTCACTATCCTCTTAAAACTCTTTACAGCATTTAGTAACTTACTACCTAATCCACATACTTGCAACATCTACCACATTGCTTCCCTATCCACTCTATCATATGCCTTTTCTAAATCCATAAATGCAATGAAAACTTCCCTACCTTCATCTAAATACTGTTCACATATATGCTTCAATGTAAACACTGTAAAGCCTCCGTGCTCATCCGCAATCCTACTCTCTGTCTTACCTCTAATTCTTTCAATAATAACCCTACTGTACAGTTTTCCAGGTATACTCAGTAAACTTATTCCCCTATAATTTTTACAATCTCTTTGGTCCCCCTTCCCTTTATATAAAGGAACCATACATGCTCTCTGCCAATCTCTAGGGACCTTCCCCTCTTTCAGACATAGGCATGTATTGAACAAAAATACCAACCACTCCAACACTGTCCCCCCCTGCTTTAACATTTCTGTTATGATCCCATCAGTTCCAGCTGCTTTACCCCCTTTCATTCTACGTAATGCCTCATGCACCTCCCCCAAACTCACATCCTGTTCTTATTCACTCCTAAAGGATGGTATACCTCCCTGGCCAGTGCATGAAATTACCACCTCCCTTTCTTCATTAACATCTAAAAGTTCCTCAAAATATTCCTGCCATTTACCCAATACCTCCAACTCCCCTACTCTGTTTTTACTGACTGAGAAATCCATTCATTCCCTAGGCTTTCTTAACTTGTTTATCTCCAAAATTTTTTCTTTTCATCAAATTTTTCGAGAGTGCCTCTCCCACTCTTTCATCTGCTCTCCTTTTGCACTCCCTCACCACTCTCTTCACCTTTCTTTTACTCTCCATATACTCTGCTCTTATAACAATTCTGCTTTGTAAAAACCTCTCCTAAGCTACCTTTTTCTCCTTTATCACACCCATTACTTCATCATTCCACCAATCACTCCTCTTTCCTCCTGCACCCACCCTCCTATAACCACAAACTTCTGCCCCACATTCTAATACTTGCACTAGCCCACCTTTCTGCCAACAGTTGTTTATATCTCACCTTAACTTCCTCCTCCCTTAGTTTATACACTTTCACCTCTCTCTTACTTGTTACCATTTTTTCCTTTTGTCCCATCTACCTCTTACTCTAACTGTAGCTACAACTAAATCATGATCTGATATATCAGTTGCCCCTCTATAAACATGTACATCTTAAAACCTACCCATCAACCTTTTCTTTCTTCTTTCAACGTACCAGCCGTATCCCACTGAGGTGGGGTGGCCCAAAAGAAAAAACTGAAGTTTCTCCTTTTAAATTTAGTAATATATACAGGAGAAGGGGTTACTAGCCCCTTGCTCCCGGCATTTTAGTCGCCTCTTACGACACACATGGCTTACAGAGGAAGAATTCTGTTCCACTTCCCCATGGAGATAAGAGGAAATAAACAAGAACAAGAATTAGAAAGAAAATAGAAGAAAACCCAGAGGGGTGTGTATATATATGCTTGTACATGTATGTGTAGTGTGACCTAAGTGTAAGTAGAAGTAGCAAGACTTACCTGTAATCTTGCATATTTATGAGACAGACAAAAGACACCAGCAATCCTACCATCATGTAAAACAATTACAGGCTTTCGTTTTACACTCACTTGGCAGGACGGTAGTACCTCCCTGGGCGGTTGCTGTCTACCAACCTACTACCTACAACCTTTTATCCACCAATATATAATCTAACAAACTACTTTCATTACATGCTGTATCATACCTTGTATACTTATTTATCTTCTTTTTCATAAAATATGTATTACTTATTACCAAACCTCTTTCTACACATAGCTCAATTAAAGGCCCTCCATTTTCATTTAACCCAGGCATCCTAAATTTACCTACTACTCCCTCCACAATATCTGTATCCACTTTAGCAATGAAATCCCCAACTCACACTTGCTTCAAAACTCCCCATGCACTCCTCAACATTTCCCAAAATCTCTCTCTCTCCTCTACATTTCTCTCTTCTCCAGGTGCATGAACATTTACTATAACCTACTTTTCACATCCTACCCTTATTTTACTCCAAATAATCCTTGAATTAATACATTTATATTCCCTCTTTTCCTGCCGTAACTTATCCTTCAACATTACTGCTACTCCTTTAGCTCTAACTCTATCTGAAACCCCAGACATAATCCCATTTATTTCTCCCCACTGAAACTCTCCCACCCCCTTCAGCTTTGTTTCACTTAAAGCCAGGACATTCAGCTTCTTCTCATTCATAACATCCACAATAATCTCTTTCTTATCATTCGCACAACATCCACGCACATTCAAACATCCCACTTTGACGGTTTTCTTCCTTTTCTTTTTAGTAGGCTATACAGGGAAAGGGGTTACTAGCCCATTGTTCCCAGCATTTTAGTTGACTTTTACAACACGCGAGGCTTACAGAGGAAAGATTCTTATTCCACTTCCCCATGGATATAAAAGGAAAAGTAATAAGAACAAGAACTATTAAGATTAAATCAAAGAAAACTCAGATGAGTGTGTATACATAAACATGTACATGAACGTATAGTGTGACCTAAGTGTAAGTAGAAGTAGCAAGACGTACCTGAAATCTTGCATGTTTATGAGACAGAAAAAAGACACCAGCAATCCTAACATCATGTAAAACAATTACAGGCTTTTGTTTTACACTCACTTGGCAGGACGGTAGTACCTCCCTGGGCGGTTGCTGTCTACCAACCTACTATAGTGAATTATTATTATTATTATTATTACTACCATCCACATACCTTGTTCAATGAGTTTAATCATTTCTTAAGCTGCCACGATACACTGAGAATGTCAACACAGATGAACACACCAGCTAACCCCTTTATTGTGAGCTTCTTTTGTATTTCTTCCATTTTCCTCTTGTTTATCCTCTTCCAAGTGCTGTTTCACTTCTAACTATTTTCTACTATGGGATGCACAATAAAGTACAAATTTATGGACGAAATATGTAGTCTTGGAGATTGCTTGATGCTGAGATGCATCACTAACCCCTTTACAACGAACTTTTGTACTTCTTCCATTTTCCTCTTGTTTTTTCTCTTCCAAGAAGAAAAACAACAGGAAATTTATACAAATATGTAGTCTTAGAAACTGTGAAAGCTAGTGTACTAAGTGGCTGTAGGAAGGAGATTTAGATGCTTGATGCTGAGATGCTACGCTGCCTGTTCATGACCCAAGTTCTCGTACAGTATACAATAACGACTCATCAGAAAGCCTGTCGTAACTCTGAGCTGTAGGTAAACGAATACGTTGGCAAGTGGGGAGGGGCTGTATATCTTCCATTCTATCAAATGAGACTGAGAAACCGAGAATACAACCATAACCACACGAAAACACACTGCAAAGTTGCTGTTTTAAATAAAAAACACAGTCGCAGTTATTTTTTCCTCATTATGCACTGTGTCCTGCAAGATTTATTTTATATGGTGAGCACTTACTGCATTGACCCATCCTATCGTATTAAGTCCCAAATTCACCACTCACAGCATATCTGGGTGAGCTGAGCTCATCACATAGTACTACAGTACGGACCCTGCCTTCAAAGTCATAGAACTATGGCACAGACCCTGAAAGGGTTAATAAGAGATCATGGGAACATAACCCCACTTTTCCCATCTACTCTGTGCAATGATATCTAGGCAAAATTTCAAGAATCCAATGCTTGTATATAGAATAGGGCTTCTTATGTAATTCTACATGCATTTCTTGCCACTACAATACTGCACATCTAAGAAAAAAATCTGAAAAACTAAAATAATTCATAAAGAAATATGATTGAGAATGACACTATTATTGTATGTAATTAAATAGGATGTACATATAGGAACGTAAGAAAGGAGGAACACTGCAGCAGGCCCATTAGCTAATACGAGGCAGGTCCTTCTCAAATCCAATTCCACTAACAAAAATATTTGCTCAACCATTTTCAACTACCCGAAGAATAAACTTTGATAACCCTATTAACTTTTGTGCATTTAACAAATGTGCGACTCACCGCTTCCCTCCGTCTTCGTTCTTGTTCTCTAAGTTTTTGTCTATCGCGGTCACTAAGCTTCGCGTTATCATGCGAGGATGTTGGAGTGGCCGGGGGGTGGGAGCTGGGTGGACCTGCAGGTGTTGCTAGCTGAGGGTGAGGTGATGTAGAAGCAGTCATGGGAGTAGCAACCTTGGCACTGGGAGCAGCTCTCTCTCTGATGGTCACAGGTTCTCTTCTGCTGCATAACAAAACTTTCCATCAGTTAAATCACATTAGAAAAATTAAAATATGCAATAATAAATATGCTAAAGAACTTCAACATTTACTCATTATCAGCAAATTCCTGCAACTCAAATCAATCATTGACCAGACCCTAGAAATGAAATGTACTCTTAATGCCTAAAAATAGCCACCCTACCCCCAAAGAAATACATTATTTTTTCTTCTCAAATGGTCGAGAATCTTTTTATGAAGGTAATGATGACAAAGGTACAAAATTTGATGGGAAACTCAAAGAATTACACAGGAATAAAATTGGTGATCTCAGTGCAGTTTATACATCAGTGATTTCATTCAATTTGAGTCCTACTTCAGGACAATTCCATTATTCTAGTCAACTAATTTTTTAACTATTTCACTAGTATACCTTTCATTGTATCAACTGAGCACATGAAACCACCCATTCAACTACTCTTATAATGTGATCAGAATTCAGTAAATGCTAATTGAAAAAAATGCTAATGGAAAAGCAGAGTCAATAATAAACAATGTAGACATTCCTAGCACTAAAACATTTCCTCTGTCCATTGGTCACACACCAAGTCCTCTCATGTATTACACTTGCTTTCCATTTTAAATTCGTATTCACACAAAATTAAAAGATTTACTCAACTTCTTGGATAACAAAATATAACCAGGAAAGATTGTTCATGGTTTACAGCTTCCCGATAATTGAATCAGACCTATTAAAAACCCATAAAACAGACTGGGGGTTGTAGAGGTCTTAACTGTCCTCTGGTTTATTAGAGAAAACTGAATATTTCTTCTAATTTGACCTAATTTTCAAGCTATTTTCAGTCCTCAAACCAATCAAAATCATATATATATTTCACTGCAGCATGCAGTGCATAATGAAAAAAAATGCAACCATGTTTTCTGGATTAAAACAGTGACTTTGTGGGCATTTTCATATGGTTTTTACAGATGTATTCGTGGTTTCTTGGACTCATTTGACAGAATGGAAAATATATTACAGCTTGAAATTGAGCTCAAAGTAGCAGAAATGTTTGATTTGTGCTGATGTTCAGGAATACACAAATGACGTCACACATCCAATACACGTCAACTGGTGGGTCTAATATACGTTCACGAATGTGCTGATTTTATTTATACAATTATTACAATATTGCACAACAGTAAATTTTCTATTTTTGGGTGTGAATAAAAATTCTATATAAAAATTAAAAATCAAAATGGAATTCATCTGTAAAGCCTGGAAATGTAACTAATAAATAAACAAAATGTTATTTTAGTGCCAGGAATGCCTACATTGTTTATTCTAAAGGCTATTTTGAAATTGGAATATTTTGAACTTAGTGTGAAACTGGCCAAATTACCAACTTCTGATCACTTTACTGGGTCGCTGAAATAGTTGACTGGGCAGATTCTGGTGTTTAACTGATAAAATAGAAGTAATACTAGCGAAATATCTAAGAATTTGGTTAACTGAAATAATGTAATTAGCCTAAAATAGGAGTCAATATCGCCGATGAGTAAATATTGCTGATGCAGTAAAATTCGCGATAATGAAATTTCATAAATTTTCCATCAAATTTAGTACTTTTTGTTTTATAACCTTCAGATAAAGATTTTCTTATCATTTCATAAGAAGAAAAAAATAATTTTTTTTTTAAATTCTTGGACCCTCAAAGGGTTAAATGGAAGAAAGTATGGAAAACACACAAATGAAGTAGTGCGAAACTTCTATGACAGAATTTGCAAGAAACACGATGTACAGTAGACCGTCATAGTATATGAATTTATCATTTTCCACATTTTGGTTATTACACTGTTGAAATATTGCGGCATATTTTTATATAACACTTTGTAAAACTGACTTAACACGGTTTCATTCCTGGGTGTGGAAAAAAATTTGGAGTGTCGCCCGCAGGCTGCAGGGATAGTTCCCCATCTCTCAGGCTGCCTGGCTCTGAGTCAGGCCATTGTCTCTGAGGGGAAGTCATACCTTCCTCCTTAGCCACACCCGCCAGTTCTCTGTGCATACACATCTCGTATGTAACTCCTTGTGAACTGTGTTTTGATCTTTTCACTGCCATATTTTGTATCTGCCAAGCAACCGTGGCACCCAGAAGGTATGGGAGGGATGCTGAAAATGGCAAGAAAAGGTTTAAGCATTGAAGTCTTGAAGTTACAAAGAAAACTGATATATAAAAGTGGTTCACATCTGGTGGACATAGCGAAAGTTTATGGCCTTAATGACTTATTTGACTGACTCGACTTACTGACTGGACTGAACTGACTTGATTGACTTAGCTGAATTGAGTTAACTGAATTGACTGACTTACTATCATCACTCAACTGACTTGACTGACTTAGCTGAATTGATTTGACTGAACTGACTTGACTGAACTGGGACTAATTTGACTGACTTAACTTTCTGACTAACTTGCTTGACTTACTGACTGGACTAATTTAAAATTAGACTTTTTTACTGAAGAGGACCCTGATAAATCTAGAAGCAGCACTCTGAAACGGTGGGTAGAGCAATTGATGCCTTACCGTCAGGTGTATAATGTACTGCAGGGTAAAATAGCCCAGAAATCCATTACAGAATTTATGCACACTCCAGTACAACCATCAACTAGTACCAGAACCTCAACCATCCACCTCAGCCCCGTAGGGCCACAGCATGACTCTCCACTCTCTTCACAATTATCGACAAACACCAGCAACCACAATTTAAGGTAAGAAATACTATTATTTCTGTTGCATTTGTAGCCTTAAGTAATAAAGTACATAATACATTGCGACAATGAACAACAATTACATGATCATTTTTATTTCTGTAATACCTGGAGATATTAAAAAAAATTTTTTGTTTTTTTCGGGGCTCCCAGGAACGTAATCCTATTTTTCCCATAAGTTGTTCAGTTTATCTAACACGGATTTACCTTACACAGCATTTTCAGAATGTGACTACCTGGAGTTTACCTGGAGAGAGTTCCGGGAGTCAACAACCCCGTGGCCCGGTCTGTGACCAGGCCTCCTGGTGGATCAGAGCCTGATCAACCAGGCTGTTACTGCTGGCTGCACGCAATCCAACGTACGAGCCACAGCCCGGCTGGTCAGGTACCGACTTTAGGTGCTTGTCCAGTGCCTGCTTGAAGACAGCCAGGGGTCTATTGGTAATCCCCCTTATGTATGTTGGGAGGCAGTTGAACAGTCTCGGGCCCCTGACACTTATTGTATTGTCTCTTAACATGCTAGTGACACCCCTGCTTATCATTGGGGAGATGTTGCATCGTCTGCCGAGTCTTTTGCTTTCGTTGTGAGTGATTTTCGTGTGCAAGTTCGGTACTAGTCCCTCTAGGATTTTTCAGGTGTATATAATCGTGTATCTCTCCCGCCTGCATTCCAGGGAGTACAGGTTCAGGAACTTCAAGTGCTCCCAGTAAATGAGGTGTTTTATCTCCGTTATGCGCACCGTGAAGGTACTCTGTACATTTTCTAGGTCAGCAATTTCACCTGCCATGAAAGGTGCTGTTAGTGTGCAGAAACATTCCAGCCTATATAGAACAAGCGACCTGAAGAGTGTCATCATGGGCTTGGCATCCCTAGTTTTGAAGGTTCTCATTATCCATCCTGTCATTTTTCTAGCAGATGCGATTGATATAATGTTATGGTCCTTGAAGGTGAGATCCTCCGACATGATCACTCCCAGGTCTTTGACGTTGGTGTTTCGCTCTATTTTGTGGAGGAATTTGTTTTGTACTCTGATTAAGTTTTAATTTCCTCATGTTTACCACATCGGAGTAATTGAAATTTCTCATCGTTGAACTTCATATTGTTTTCTGCAGCCCATTGAAAGATTTGGTTGATGTCCGCCTGGAGCCTTGCAGTGTCGGCAATGGAAGACACTGTCATGCAGATTTGGGTGTCATCTGCAAAGGAAGACACGGTACTGTGGCTGACATCCTTGTCTGTCAGATATGAGGATGAGAGACCAGATGGGAGCGAGTACTGTGCCTTGTGGAACAGAGCTTTTCACCGTAGCCGCACAGACTTTACTCTGTTGATTACTACTCTTTGTGTTCTGTTTGTGAGGAAATTATAGATCCATCTACCAACTTTTCCTGTTATTCCTTTAGCACGCATTTTGTGCGCTATTACGCCATGGTCACACTTGTTGAAGGCTTTTGCAAAGTCTGTATATATTACATCTGCATTCTTTTTGTCTTCAAGTGCATCTAGGACGTTGTCGTAGTGATCCAGTAGCTGAGACAGACAGGAGCGACCTGCTCTAAACCCGTGTTGCTCTGGGTTGTGTAATTGTTGGGTATCTAGATGGGTGGCGATCTTGCTTCTTAGGATCCTTTCAAAGATTTTTATGATATGGGATGTTAGTGCTATTGGTCTGTAGTTCTTTGCTATTGCTTTACTGCCCCCTTTGTTTGTGGAGTGGGGCTATGTCTGTTGTTTTTAGTAACTGTGGGACGACCCCCATGTCCACGCTCCCTCTCCATAGGATGGTAAAAGCTAGTGATAGGGGCTTCTTGCATTTCTTGATTAACACGGAGTTCCATGAGTCTGGCCCTGGGGCAGAGTGCATGGGCATGTCATTTATCGCCTGTTCAAAATCATTTGGCGTCAGAATAATATCAGATAGGCTTGTGTTAACCAGATTCTGCGGCTCTCTCATAAAAAATTCATTTTGATCTTCAACTCTCAGTCTGGTTAGCGGCTTGCTAAAAACTGAGTCATATTGGGACTTGAGTAGCTCACTCATTTCCTTGCTGTCATCTGTGTAGGACCCATCTTGTTTAAGTAGGGGCCCAATACTGGATGTTGTTCTCGACTTTGATTTGGCATAAGAAAAGAAATATTTTGGGTTTCTTTTGATTTCATTTATGGCTTTTAGTTCTTCTCGCGTCTAGGTAGTAGGTTGGTAGACAGCAACCGCCCTGGGAGGTACTACCGTCCTGCCAAGTGAGTGTA